ATGTATAAAATAAATGGAAAGTCGTTCACCTGGAAGAAAACTCAGTTTGCATCAGAGAACCCACTCAGGAGAGAAACCTAATGAATGGAGCATATGTGCAGTCTTTCACCCAGAAGGCACAGCTTATGGCTCATCATTGAACACACATAGGAGAGAAATCTTATGAATAAAACAAATGTGGAAAAAATTTTCAAGAAGTCACACCTCAATTTGCATCAGAGAACATACACAGGAGAGAAACCGTATGAACGTAACAAACGTGGAAAATCCTTCACCAAAAAGGCATGAGTTGGTGTTAATAGAACACACAGAAGAGAAATCTTATGAATGTTATAAATGTGGAAAGGTATGCCTTCACCTGGAAGGCATACCTCAGTGTTCATCAGAGAACTGAATCACACAGGAGAAAAGAAAACTAGTGAATACACCAAATGTGCAATGACTTTTAAGCAGGTGTCAGTCCTCAGTGCATCTGAGAACATATAAATAAATGAGAGAAATTCTCAGCATAATAAATGTAGAAAAACATTTAGCTGGAAATCTTATCTCTACAGGTATCAGAGACCTGGTAAATGTAAACATTAGAGGAAATCTTTCAAGCAGAAGTCAGGCTTTAGTAAGCATCAGCACTCACAGCAAAGAAACCCAATGCAGGAAAACACTTTTCAGGAACTGCTGCAAATTATACAGAGAAGCTCTTCATGGCAGAAGTAAGCTAGGTGTAATGGGAAACCATTCTTTCCTTTTTGGGGGGGGGTTCCGGTTGTGGGGCCTGAACTCTGGGCCTGGGCACTGTCCCTCGGGTCTTCAGCTCAAGGCTAGGGCTCTACCACTTGAGCCACAGCGCCACTTTGGCTTTTTTCTTTTTTCTTATGTGGTGCTGAGGAATCAAACCCAGGGCCTCAGGCATGCAAGGCAAGCTCTCTACCACTGAGCCACCTTCCCAGCCCGAAACCATTATTTCCTATTGGGCACTCGCTGAGCCAACATTTCTCATCTTCTTATTGTGATGAGTGTGGATGGTGTCCTTGAATGTTATTCAAAAGATTTGGACACAAGTGATGGGTGTTAATTTCTTCCAGGCTTGAGAAGTAATTAAGAGAGTGAAGTTGTTGACTTGTGTCTTTTACAATATGGAATAATTTGTCAAGGTGATTTTATAAAGTCAGAAATAAGAACTCTGGCCCTTTGAGATTGGACTCAGATCATCCTCCAAGGTGGTTTGGGGAGTCATAGATGGGAAAAGACTGTTATGATTTCAGACAAGGACATAAGAGCTTCGATTTCTCCACTGCTCCACTAAAGTATCCCACTGTATGTGCGCTCAATGCGTTATAACACAAGTGACTTACTATTTCCAGTTCAGTGTTTGAATAGAAGATCTGATGGAAGATGCCACTGTTTATTACAAAACATGCACAATTGTGAAATTTTTCTCTTCACCTTTTGTCCTCAAGTTCATGAAACATTCAGAAAACAGGGAAAGGCACACATTTGGGGATATATTTGCTTTTTGTATGGGTACAAGTCCTGTAGCTTGAGCTCAGAGCCTAGGCACTGTTCTTAAGCATTTTTGCTCAAGGCTAATGCTCTACTATTTGAGTCACAGCTTCATTTCTGGTTTCTTTGGTTGGTAAATAAAGACAAGAGTCTAAACCATTTGGTTTTGGATGAGTAACCCCAAAATAACTTCAGTGCTTCCTTTATATTGAATTAATCACTGGTAATGAGTCACATGTGATTGATTCACCCTTAGTTCATTCTGTTGTTCTGTTGAGTGAGTTGTTATAATAAACCAGCGTGGATAATATGAAGAGCTTGTGTTTTTTTACTTTTCTGGAGGCTGAAAGTGGAGTTCTGAGGATGAGTCTATCATCACTCCAATTTCTTTCCCCAGCTCCTTTCAGAATATTTTAAATTAGGGAAATATAAAGTTTCATAGCAAAATTTCTAATGAAAATTGAGTAGTTTAATTGAATTTGGTAACATTTAAAAATATGTGAAGATGTTGCAGAATTTTTAAAAAGGTGAGGAATATAGATGAACACTGAGCAGTTCCATATGTAAAAGCAACATTCAGAAGCTCCATATGAATGTATCTCCAGAGCAACAGCACAGATTTCCCATTTCTCAGGACTTTAGATAGAAATATCCTGAGAATATTCCACCTATTCATACACATAAACCTCTTGGCTCTGGTGACAGGGTGGAAAGCAAGACTGAATCATCTTATCATGTTGGTAAGAGGTCATCAGAATGTTCACATTGAAGACCTGCCATCACACTGTTTGCCATGGACACTATTGTTTAAAAAAACTACATGTTATACTAATATGTATGAAATAATTTTGAAATGACAAAAATTGAGCAGCATTTGAAAAGTACTTTCATTGATCATGAAAATTTCAGTGTGAATTGAGGATAAAGGTGATGTAAGAAAAATTAAAATCTACCTCAATTGCAATATCAACCTTACCAATTTCTACTTTTGTTGAGTTTTTAGTTTTTAGTTTTGTTCAGTTTATAGTTCTAACATAAAAATTTGCAATTATTTCAAAGACGTGTGTATACATATACATTATATACATAATATATATACATAATATACATACACTTTGGAATAAGTATATATACTGCTTTGGAATAAGCAGATTACATTTCATTCATTAGAAATATTAACTCAGTGCTATTTGTAAATCAGTACAAACTTCTCCAATCATTTGAATCCACCCAGACTCCTCCATAACACATTTCAACTTATCAGACCTTTAGCACAATCATTGTCTCTCCCGAGGAAGCCTATCTAAGGAGGAGCCATTGTGCAACAGGGCACAAGACCCATATCAGGACCTTAAAAACAGGCACACAAATGAGGAAACCATTTACTGTGTGATCAATTCTCAAAGAATTCGTTATCTGTAAGATTAAATTGTTTGGAATTGAAAACCAAAGAAATGAAGATCTCTACAAACAAGGGGACTAAAAAGACAGGAATTTAGTTCATTCCAAAAAGCAGCTGGGCAACAGTGGCTCACGCCTGTAATCCTAGCTACTCAGGAGGCTGAGGTCTGAGGATCCCGGTTCAAAGCCAGCCCGGGTAGGAAACTCCGTGAAACTCTTATCTCCAATAAACCATCAGAAAACCGGAAGTGGCACTGTAGCTCAAATGGTGGAGTGCTAGCCTCGAGCTGAAGTGCTGAGGGACAGCGCTCAGGCTGAGTTCAAGCCCACGACTGACAAAAAAAAAAAAAAAAAGCATAGTTCAGCTCACTACGAATAGATTTTTTCTGACACATTAGCGCTCGAGCAAGGAGTCCTTGTTCTACTCAGCTTATTCCTCCCTTACAACCTGCTATGTGTCTGAAACCCACAAACTGGAAAACTTGGTCATTAGGAAGTATTCAAGGAGGTCTTAGGACTTAAATCAGCCAGTCACCTGTGGCTCACACCTGTACTCCTATCTACTCAGGAGACTTGAGAGCTGTGCTCATGGTTCAAATCAGCCCAGGTAGGGAAGTCATGGAGATTATTATCTCCAACTCACCATCAAAAAGCCTGAAGTAGAGATGTGCAAGTGCTAGAGTGCAAATCTTGAGGAGAAAAAGCTCTGGGAAAATACCTGGGCCTTTAGTTCAAGCCACAGGACCAGCACAAAAACAAACAACAAAAACCTTACTAAGTACCACAAATAACCAGGTACAGTGTAAATAAAAATATCTAAAGCTGCTGGGTACAGGTGGCTCATGCCTGTAAACCTGAGATCTGAGAATAGAGCTTTGAAGCCAGCCTGGGCAGAAAAGTCCATGAGACCCTCCAATTAATAAAAGCAATTCAGAAGTAGAAGTAGAGATGTGGCTCAAGTAGCCTTAAAAGAGAAGCTCAGGGACATCACCCAGGCAGTGAGTCCAGTCACTAATATTGGCATATTTGACTGTGATGTATGAAAAAGACCAGCTGTGGTAAGTGCATATGTTTGTGCAAAACTACACTCTTAGATGCAGAAAATGAGCTTTCTGTGATATGGTTGTGGAGGTATTTCATGTTTACTTCTTCCACTAAATATTCTATTTCCTTAATAACCAAAAGCCCATTTGATTTGAGGACAGCAATGTACTCATTTTAAATAACATTAGTGAGGTGTGATTGGGCAGGTTATAATTTAAACCTTAGGTGGAGAAGACAGGAAGTTTACTAGTTTGAGAGCAACCCAGGCTACATACTAAGGCCTGCCTCAAATCTATGTGTCTGTCTATCTGTCTATGTGTTTTTTTGTGAGTGGATGTGTATATGTGTGTGTGTCCACATATACAAGCATGCGTGCATACATAACCACATAAATAAAATACTGTTTGTTTATTGTAAAGAATGTTCATAGCCATGGTTATCCAGGGAATGTGCTTAATTTTTTCTCTTTCTCTGTATACATGTAGATATAGGTACAAATAAAAATAGACATAGTTTTGTAAACTGAGCATTTGAAAATCACGTTGTTTTGCATTGCAACTGATATAAAAGGAAAGAAACTGATAAGCCTTTTGGCTTTTCCCCTCTAAGCCTAGATACCCATGAAGCTGAGATCAGAGGATCAAGGAATAGAGCCAGCCTAGGCAGAAAAGACTACAGAAGGAGCTATAATTAAGCAGCAAAAAGCTGAGTTGGGGCATGGCTCAAGGAATAGAGAGCCAGCTGTGAGCAATGAAACTGAATAAGCATGAAACCTGAGTTCAAACTTGGGTACTAGCCAAAAAAGGAAAGAAACTAGCGTTAGAACCAATTAAATATAAAAATCAGGTATCTGGAGAAGAAAGTGTGCATAGGTTTTAATGTCATGGAAATCCTCCAGCTTTTCTATATCAAGCCATAGTGTAAGGCCTTTAGTTATTTGAACGGTGTTATTACAGATTTTATTAAATCTAGAATTAAAACATGGCCTAATAGACTAGAGCAGAGGACAACATCAGCTGTACATCTGAAAAGTGACTAATGATCAAGATACAAAGATTATCTAAACTCCCAAAGAACCAATAATCCAATCAATAAATAGGCAACTGAACTGAAGAGACAAAAGAGTGAACTGAGCTCCAAAGAAGTACAAATAAGTACATCTGTAGATGAAGCAATGGTCAGCATTCTTGGCCATAAAGGAGGTACAAATTGAAATGACATTGAAATTTCATCTCACTCCAGACAGAGGGGCAATCAGCAAGTACACAAACAAGAGCAACTGCTAGTGAGGATGTTGGAAAAGGAACCTTATACCTATTTGTGTGAGTATAAATTAGTGCAAACACTTAGGAATGAAGTGGTATAGAAGTGCTTTAAAAAGCTAAAAATAGAAGTACCATAGGATCTAGTAATACTACCCATGGACATACATCAGAAAGAATTTATGTCAGGATAGAATAGTGTCATGTTCACACCCATCTTCATTGCTGCACTATTTCTGGTAGCCAAGCTATCAAAGCAGTTTAGGATATTATAGTTGATCAGTGCATAAACAAAATGTGACTTACACATGACACATAGGCAGTTTATATCTGGAATCTTATTCCATTCTGCTCCCAATAATATGATGTCAAAGCCATCAATATCCAGATTGCTGAGGCAAGCAATTATTTCTCCTGTTGTGTAGAAAGGAAAACAACTCCCAAAGGGTATTGATATATGTCTGAGCCTTAGTGCTAGTCAGTTAACCAGTCAAATTGCCACAGTGAAATGTAAACTACCTAGTGAAGACTGTGAAGATTTTAAAGAAAGTGGAAATGATTCAGAACTATAGAATATTTCATGAAATTCCAAGCAATTAGTGTATGTTTGTTCCATGACCAAATGAGTAGATTTTTATTACTGAAAGTCAGGAATATGTGCTGGAGTCCTGACCACACAATTTGAGGACTAGCACACTTTCTGATTAGTTGTACAATCATTGCTTGTGTCTTTCACTTTAATGCAAAGAACCACATCTCAACTTCCATTTTGATATTAAGGGGTGATAGTACTTCCCATCCTAGTAGGCAGAAGGACTAAATGAAAAAATAAGCAGAGTGCCTTTCTTTACAGGGGTTGAAATTTTAGATTTGCAAAACACCAGGAAATGGGTATTTGAAAATGGTGAACAAATGAAGAGTAGAAGAGTGGGAGAACGTAGTCAGCAATCCATTGTATATCTTATGTATGTCTTATGAAATGAAGAAGAGTGAGAGTATGGTTTGGGATGTGTGGAATATTGAAATGTGTGACATTGATCAAGATTTTATATTTTGTATCCATGACTTGTGAAATAGCAACTCCTCCATACAACTATTTAAGGATGATAAAAGAATATGAAATCTGGCATTGATACATAGTGTACATTTATTCAGTTATAAACAGCAAAGACATTATACCATTCATTGGCAAAAGGATGCAACTGGATATTAACTTGTTAATTGAACTAAAGTAGGTTTTTATGCCAGTCCTGGGCCTTGAACTCAGGGCCTGGGCACTGTCCCTGAGCTTCTTTTGCTTAAGGCTAGTGCTCTACCACTTGAGCCACAGCACTATTTCTGGACTTTTCTGTGTATATGGCATGGTACTGAGGAATTAAACCCAGGGCTACATGCATGCTAGGCCATCACTCTACCACTAAGCCACATTCCCAGTCTCTGAGTTATGTAATTTTTGAGAACGTCAAAGATCTTACCACAAACCTCATCCTGTAGTAATATCCACAGTTAGACTTTAGAAGATTTCTGCCTTTGTATTAAAGACTTAAATTGTAAATTAGATTTTCAGATTTCCAATAACCATTCAAGGAATGTTACAATATATTGGTCTGTGTTACAGAACATACTGAATCTTTAGAGGGCCAACATCTCTAGGGGTGTTTAATACAACCCTAAGTCCTGACCCTGAAGAAACTGTTCTCCTGAGATCTTAGCATTCAACCAAGAAGCTCCAGTTCCCTGGTAATCTTGACCATAATCTAAAGGACAAAAGTTCTAGAGAGCAGGATGGTAGGTGAACCCTGATTCCTTCCTGACATGAACCTGAAATAATGCATCTCAGTCTGTGGGAGGGATAGAAGCTGGGATGTGGAGCACAGTGGGCACTGGCCACTGTGTATTTTCTCTAGACCCTCAGGAACCATCCAAGCACTCTTACATCTTTATGTTTGTGCACTGCTAGGTCACTTGTCACCCCCCCCCCCCCATTATCACAATGTTTGTTCTGCTTCTTTGTAACACATCATACCCTAACTTCTCTTTTCTGTCCCCTCCATGAATTTTGAAGTTCATTTAACTTTTTCACGTCTCTGGATCTCATACATCCTTGCATGAAGTTCACAATCAGAGATCTCAGCACTTTGACAAGGCCATTATCTGTGGCACCTACAGCCCAACTCTTTTGGCTCACTTGTATATGAGCTATAAACCAAAGCAAGCAATTTCTTTATAGTGCTCAGTCTAAATTAAACAGACTTTGTATGGAGACTTCATTTGGTGTGGCAGAAGTTGGTTAGGCCCCTAGGCTGGGCTAGAACTCAAAAATAGAAGGTTCTGGAAGGAAAATTTTGGTTTGGTGACAGCTGAGGAGAAGATGGAAGTATTGATTGAGGCCTTCATGCAATAGGCAAAACCTGAAGGTACATTTGGACAGGGGGAGAAGCCAACAATAAGACCTCTACTGCCCATTAGTCTGCTGTCAGTGCAGCATGATAACTCCAGCATGGGCCAAGGGGCCAGTGGGCCCACGCAGGGCACAGGGGCCTGTAAGACCAGCAACCTTTCCTCAGGAGTCAAAACTGATTTCAGGACTGACCCAGGGGCCTTTGGTTGAGTTCTCTCAAAGCTTTGTGTTAGAAATGAATTATATGACTTGAAGGGGAGGAAGTTGAGAGGGGAAATCCTAGGAGAGAATGAGGGAGAAGTCGCACTCTTCCAAAGGAAATGCACTTTTTACCTGACTTATGTAACTGCATTTTCTCTATACATCACCTTTACAATAAAAAATAAAACAAAAAAACCTGCAAAAAGGAAAGCTGCAATGCCGTTGTTGATATGCCCATTTTAACGATTATTAGAATCTGACCCTCAAGCCATGGGCTTAAAGACAGCTTTTATTTCATCAATATACATTTGTTGTCATGAGGGGAGAGGTTGGGTTAGGAAGGATGGGGGAGGATGTTGAAACAGGTGACATTGATCAAGATGGATTGAACTTATAAACTGCTTTGAATAATTTCTTTTTTTTAAAACTTTATTCAAGATGTTGACACAAATGATCCCCCAAAGTAATATAAATTTTGACACTTTAAAAAAGTCCAGATGTGAAGTTTCAAAAAATTTCAATTTGAAGCCAAAAGTTAAACCAATTCCTAATAATATGATTTTCCTTCTTAAATTATATTTTCTCAGACAGATTACTTAGTATTTTTGACATGGTTATTTGGACTCATTTTAGTTTGGCCTGCAATTTTAGGTTCTAACTTTGTACCTATCCTGAATATATCTTATTATAATTAAAAATATAAATCCAGAAACAGCAACAACTCTTCCTTATAGAAGAATTCCAATTATTAAGTATAAGGGAAATAGAAAATCACCATCAGAATACTACTGTTTTAAATGCCACAAGCAAGATCTGCCAATTCATAAAAATAGTTGCAGAAGTGTAAGCAGAAACAGGACAGCTGCATAGTCTCAAAGTATCTAGCAAATATTTAGTAATTATAAAGGAAAACATAGCAAGCATACAAAAGAAAATCCAAGCAAACACCATCTTAACATTGCAATCAAGATTAACAACACCAGAAACACATTAACACATTAGGTATCCTGTTATGTATAGCATGCTATCACAGATTGGAAGATAAAACAAGAGACATGGCAACTCAGTTCAAGATGGGACCCTGGATGGGATCCTGGAACAGTAAGAGACATTAGGAAAAATATCTACTTTTAACTCTACTAAGATAGCATTGTAGCAAGGTTAATGTCTTGATTTTGACAAGTGTTCTTCAGCAAGATATCAAAACAAGACAATAGCTTAAGAATATACAGGAATTTACTACTTTTACAATTCTCCTATAAGTCAACAATCATCTCAGAAATATGGAAAATAATTTTAAAAAGATAGACACACTCAGCCAGGCGCTGGTGGCTCACGCCTGTAATCCCAGCTACTTAGGAGGCTGAGATCTGAGGATCACGGTTCAAAGCCAGCCCGAGCAGGAGAGACCGTGAGACTCCTATCTCCAATAAACCACCAGAAAACTGGAAGTGGCGCTGTAGCTCAAGTGGTAGAGCGCTTGCCTTGAGCTGAAGAGCTGAGGGAGAGCGTCCAGGCCCAGAGTTCAAGCCCCATGACCAACTAAAAAAAAAAAAAGATAGACACACATTTATATGTGTACATAGCATATACACACATATAGCAAGTTAAATAATCATGTTCTCTTCTGAATCAGTCATTGGCTCACTAACAATGTAACTTTAAGGTTCTCCTGTTCGTTATTCTCACATTTAACTACGTAATTTTCTTAGAAAATCTTTTGGCTATACTAGGCCAAAACAAGAGAATCATAGAATAAGATTATTACATTATCTTGCAAACTCATTCATCACAGCTGTTAAGACCCAGCCAATATTTTTAGAACATTTCTTCTCATCACCTAATATCTTCTTTATACAAGTACTTAAAAATAGAAATATAAATAAAATTTTTTATTGTCACAATTAGTTTCTGAGTTGGCAGATAGTGAAATGGTCAGCCTAGAGGTTTCACTGAGCTACATAGAGCACACTATACAGGGCCAGGTAGCTCATTTCCCTTTCAGTGCATTCAGACCTTTCCAAGATAGATCTGATATGTTCACTTGTGTCCAAGCAAACATACACTATGTTGTTACCTGGTGGAAATGATCCACTGATCAATATTTATTATCCCTAAGATTTATATTCCAAAATTCATAGGAAACTGCACAAGACACCCAGAATGACCAAAGCAAGCCATATGTGGGGGGCAGTATTGGAAGTATCACAATTCCAGACTTCCAATTTTGCTATCGCTCTATAGTGACAGAAACAGCTTAGTAATGGCACAAAAAT